ACTCCAAGTTTTCAAATATCAATTTTTACTCCTTACTAAATGAAAATTTGTGATTTATACTTTAAGTAGTTTTGAAACAATTTTTACAAAATTTTTTGAACCATAATCGAGTCAAAATTAAGATTTCATAAGGGTAGTACAAATACTGCATTTAACAGTATCGATACCCCGAACATCGAATACAATTTGGGTACCAATACCCTACACGGTACCGATACCCTTATATATAGTAGTACCGATACCATAACAGTATCGTACCCGAACACCGAATGCAATTTGGGTACCAATACCCTACACGGTACCGATACCCTTATATATAGTAGTACCGATACCATAACCAATGGTACCGATACTACCTCTTTGTTTTTGATTCCGAGAAATAACAGATTGCAAAATGGGTATCGATACCATGACCGATACTGATACCACTTTAATAGTAATATCGATACCCCCTGGCCATTATCAATATCGTCGGTTTTGCAACGGTTGAAATATTTGAATTTTATACAGGTAGTACCGATACCCTATGAAGGAGTACTGATACCCATACGCTCCCAGCAGCTTTTCAAGTGGATTTCACACCACAATGGCTCTACTGACTCCATGATCATCCCCAACGTCTAGAATTGATCTGAGGTAACAAGTCTTGAAGCCATTGATGATTAAGAATTGAGAAGAGAAACAAAAGAGAAAGCCTTAAACATCAAGTTTGAGCAATTCAAGCCAAAATCCATTGAATATTCATTTTTCTTTCAAGAACACAAATTGTGCTCAATTGTATTCATTTTTAGTGTTCTTTCTTTGTTCCTAATTGTGCAAACATCTTACCTTGTGAGGTTTTTTTGTAAGTTTGCAAAGTTTGTAATTTCCTCTTTGAGAGGAGAGTGTCTCAAGAATTTAGGGTATAATTCTTGAGGGAGTTGTAAGGTTACTCTTTATCCTGAAAAGAAAGACAAATTAGTGAATTTGTGGAAAATCCTTAGTGTGGATAGCTAAGGTAGTGGACGTAGACTTTGGTTGAGAAAGTCGAACCACTCTAAATCGATGTGCAAATCTTTTCAATTTTCTGTAAAAAATTCCACCAAAATTTTAATTGACAATTAACCCCCTCTTGGGTGTTTTATCCGATCGATTAACTCAACATATACTTTATAGTTTATATATATACTTATAATATACTCATACTTTATTGTTATATATATATATATATATATAGATAGATTATAATTATAAAGAATAGAGTGTATATATATATATATATACTTTATAGATATACTTATACTTTATATATATATATATATATTATAGTTTATATATATACTTATATACTTTATATTCAATACTTATATACTCATATTTAATACTTATATACTTTATATTATATACTTATGTACTTTATATATAATATACTTATTTTATATTAATTATATATGTATATATATGTTCTACTAAAACTTTATATATATATACTTTATAATTTATATATATACTTTTACGTTATAGTTTATATATATGTATATATACTTATATACTTTATATTATATACTTATATACTTTAGTCTTTATAATTATACTTTATATATATAATTTATAGTTTATATATATACTTATATACTTTATTTTTAAACTATATAAACTATAAAATTTTACATAATATATATAATTTATAATTATAAATAATATATAAATATAGGGTAAAGTATAGGAATGATCACTGAACTTTTCTAAAGGTTTCATTTAGGTCCCTCAACTTTTAAAACTTGCAATACAGTCCCCCAACATTTAGTTCGTTTGTAAAATGGTCCCCCAACATTTAGTCTATTTGTAATATGGTCCCTGACCGTTTGACGCCGTTACACTACCATTAGTACGTTTGGAATATGGTCACTGAACGTTTTAGGTGCTTGCATTTAGGTCCCCAACTTTTAAAACTTGCAACACAGTCCTAAATTCCATTCTAAACCCCAAATTCCTTTTCGATCTCAAATCTCCTTTTTCGCTTCTCTCTTCTCATTTCCAGCGTAACTTTTCAGTCGATGATGCATGTGAAATTCTAATCTAACTTTGAATTATGTGGATGTGTTGACTTAAATAAGGGTCTATTGAGAGAAGACCCGACCAAGGGACTATCGGGACTATCAACGATTCAAGGTGTAATGTTAGATACAGGTCATCTCAGGTGAAGCATAGATGTTCGATGAAATGCTTGTGAGAAAAAAATGGGGTTAAAAATGCAGAGTTGATAAATACTACTAAGATGAAATAAGTATCGTTGTTGAAAGTCACCAACAAAGCTGAAATTATTTTATATAAATGACATATAATAATTTCTTCGTTTAATACTTGTACTTAAAGATTTTCCAACAATGATCAAATATAATGAAATTCCAAACAGCGCATTCACCTCTCGTTTGTTTTTGTTCTTCAATTTTCCGCCATGTAAAATTGTAAACCCAAGCAGTGCTATGTCTTTCAGCTTTTTATTTACAAAGAAAAAATGGAGGAAGAATTTCTTGAACGCAACACCGATTGTGTTTATTTCTTAGCCTCTCCCCTTACTTGCAAGAAGGTATTTATTTTCTCTTTTGGGCTATCTGGAAGTAAGTTTTTCCTCTTTCGCAGTTTCCCATTTTTAGCTCGCATTGTGTGTTTTTTGTTGAAGATTTTATGTTTTTGGAACTGCATGTCAATGATCTGGATATTCAGTGTTAGTTTTGAACCAAAACCATCTAATTTTCTTTCTTTCTTCTTAATCAAAACTTTTAATACTCCTTAAGAAAAATATTCAGTCCATCAGAATAAAGTGAAATAGGGTCCTATGCTAAATTTTTTTGATCTTCTTGTTTGGTTTTCTTTAAATCAAAGAATTGGTTGTGAGTATCGACATAGTGAAATTGCCAGGCTTAATTCGAGAGACTGTGGTACTAGTTTACTGGGAATTGTATTGATCCGACCTATGGTTTTCGGTGTCCTATGAGCTCTATTCTTTTTAATAAGTTTATGTTGATCATGGGACTGATATATCAGGAACGAATTAATTTTTTTACATGTTTTGGAAATTTTACAGTTGAATTGTATTGAATTATAGCTTTAGAAGACAATTCTGTATGCACGCAAATCGAAAGGCATCATGACAGCGTAGTATATTTGGAGCATCTACTTGACCCTGTCATGATGCCTTTCGAGTTGCGAAAGAGACTGAGAGGTGAATGCGCTGTTTGGGATTTCATTATATTTGATAATCTGTTGGAAAATCTGTAAGTACAAGGATTAAACGAAGAAATTATTATATGCCATTTATACAAAATAATTCCAGCTTTGTTGGTGACTTTCAACAATGATACTTACTTCATCTTAGTAGTATCTGTCAACTCTGCATTTCTAACCCCATTTTTCTTCTCACAAGCATTTCATCGAACATCCATGCTTCACCTGAGATGACATGTATCTAACATTACACCTTGAATCGTTGATTGTCCCGATAGTTCTTGGTCGGGTCTTCTCTCAATGGACCCTTATTCAAGTCAACACCTCCACATAATTCAAACTTAGACTAGAATTTCCCATGCATCCCCGACTGAAAAGTTATGCTGGAAATGAGAAAAGAGAAGCGAAAAAGGAAATTCGAGATCGAAAAGGAATTTGGGGTTTATAATAAAATTTAGAACTGTGTTGCAAATTTTAAAAGTTAGGGACCTAAATGCAAGTGCCTAAAAAGTTCAATGACCATATTGTAAACATACTAACGACAGTGTAACAATGCCAAACAGTCGGGGACCATAGTGCAAATAGACGAAATATTGGGGAACCGTATTGCAAACGAACTTAATGTTAGGGGACTGTATTACAAGTTTAAAAAGTTAGAGACCTAAATGAAAGTTTTAAAAAAATTCAGTGACCATGACTATATTTTAAATATAAATATAAGCTGTATATATTTAAATATAATTCATATATAATTTATATATAAACTATATAATTTGTATTAATAAACTATATAGTTTATATGCGTAGTTTATATATATATATATTATAATTTTTTTAATTTTTTTCTTAACTTTTGAAATGAATGCAATTTATATATCTACATATAGATTTTCTTCACATTTTTAATTATTTTGATTTTATCCCTTTGTGTTGTTTAATTTATTTAAAATTTTATTTGTAATTTCATATTTGTTCAATTTAGTCCTTAAAATTATATTTGCATCTGAGATTGACCTATACTTGTTACTTATTTATGTTTTTTAGTTGGCCCATAATTTTTTTAAATGGATATAATTTAGTACTTTTTATATTAATTTCAATCTCATATTTTAAAATTATTTCGATTTGGTCCCTCATCAATGTGTGTTATTTAATTTATTTAAATTTTTACTTGTAATTTCATATTTGTTCAATTTAGTTCTTAATTTTATATTTTTCAAAAAATTGATTCATGATTATTTATATTCTTAGTAATTTACTCTAAATCATATACAATTACAAATTGCAATTCAACATTTGTAAAAGACGAAAATAATTAATCCAAAATTAAAAAGTAACCCGATTTGAACTCAACCAATATCTGATAAAGATCCAGCCTGAATTTTATATCCCAATGATATCACCAAATCTGAACGAGATCCGCTTGAAGTTCAACCGAATCCGAATTAATCTGGTCTTTATCTGCTCAAGACCTGAACTGACATCGATTCGAACTGAAAGTAACTCGACCTGAATCCGAACTGTACCTGATGTCAAATCAACCTGAAAATAACCAGATCTGATTTGACATGAACCTGACCTGATCTGATTCGAAACATCAAATTTACCTAACTTGATCTGTATCTGATTTTACTCAATCTAACCTAATATATCTGAAACATGAACTATTACCGAATTTTACATCCTTACTTTCTACCAGCAGAAAATAGATAGCAAAAGCCTTTTAAAAACCCTATCATTCGTACTTTCAAAAGCCTGGAATTGCAGTATATCCCTAACATAGGGATTTGCTTGGCTAGAGGAGAAACGAAGCAGCACCAGAAAGGATCTGCTATTTTTCTCGTCTCTGCTTTTATTTGTAAAAAGGAGATTCCGCTAAAGCAAAAACAAATGAAGCTCAAACAACTAGAAAGTCTCTTAGGCGATCTTCAACAATTCTCAAACCCAAAGGTTCTTCTCTTGCCCTTGAAAAAAAGAATCTAGAATTTGTTAACAATGGAGGTGGTTATTGAATCAGTTCGTCGCGGATATCTGTTTCATTTAATGCAGGTGGAACTCGAACAATACCCAACTGGACCTCATATCGCTTCTCGTTTGCTTTACACTGTATGGACTAATTTTTCTTTTTTGGGTCTTTATTTTCTCGGCTAACGGTTATTGTCCTTTTGGTTCTTTATTTTTTTAGGCTGAGAATTCATTTGATGATATTAGCAACAAGGTGGTGGCAGATTTTGGTTGTGGTTGTGGCACTCTAGGTGCTGCTGCTGCTCTCTTGGGTGCCGAGTAAGTAAACCCATTTTCTCTGTCTTTGTTGATTCTTTGACCTGAGTACAGGTTACTGGCATTGATATGGGTGTTCTTGTTGCTTTGGAATAGGCAGGTTATTGGCATCGATATTGATTCTCAATCTCTTGAAATAGCTTCTATGAATGCTAAAGATCTTGAGGTGCTTTCCCCTGTTTGTTGATTTTGATGTTATAGTATTAAGTCTAGAGCTTTTTATTGGCCCGAGCCAATTATTGTAACATCTGTTTCTCCTTTACCTGTTTATTTGCGCATCTTGCTTTTAGGACCTGCAATTTCGTTGTTTGCTTAGCAATTTACGCTTTTCTTGATGTCTTTTTTGTGTTGTTTTCCCGATTGAACTGCAGTTGGACATAGATTTTGTTCAGTGTGACATCAGTAGTCTAGGATGGAGAGGTAACAGTTCCTTTCCTTTTCTTTTCCTCTCTACACTCTGTGTCTTCGGAGCTGAAAACATAATCGCAATTTTTTTTATTTTTCCCGGAAAAGTTGCTGGTCATTCTTATAATCAATGGTTAGTTTGCAGGCAACGGTGTTTCACTGGCACAATGGAATATTTTGGGTGATTGAATATATGGGAACCGTATGTGTTTATATGGACATGGCTGATTGGATCTATGATAATTCAACTTGTTTCTTCTCTGACTTCAATATTTATTTATGTGGAAGATGCACTATAAATTGAATGTATATGTTACTTTCTGGCCACAATGTCATGTTTACTGAATTGAGAGAAACATAGCACAGACGTTTAAGTTTAAAATAATACACATGTTTAAATGGATGTTCTACTGACCATTTCTTAATCTTAAGTTGTGATTTCTGTCTTCGTCTTATGGTTTCACTCCGTTTTTAGGTCAAATTGTTGATACTGTTGTGATGAATCCTCCATTTGGAACTCGAAAGAAGGGTGTTGACATGGATTTTCTATTTGTGGCATTGAAGGTTGAACTGTTGATTGATTCAAAAAAAAATTCAATCCATCTTTCTTTTTTCCGGTGCTTTATGACTGATAGGCATATTATTCATATATCGTGTGTGCCAGGTAGCTTCTCGAGCTGTTTATTCCTTGCATAAGACCTCGACAAGAGATGTGAGTAATTTGCTTTGAAATTTCTCCTAGTCGAATAGAAATCTATTAGTAATGCTTGCCGTGCCCTTGATTTAAAGTGACGGATTCAAAGCTAAAATAACAAATTATCTATTTATTAACGTTGACAAACATACGTTCTTCGGTGTGGCATGTATTAGTTGTCAGTCTAGCCTTATCATGGAGATAGTAGTAGTTTGCTCTATCTTTACTTATTGATTATGTTTATACCATCAATGTCGTCATTTCTACTAACATATAACAACTTATTTATCTGGTCCGAATATCTCATCGAGTTGTCTCATGTCATCTGTTTCTTTTATGCAAAGAAATTTCAGTTGCGTGTTATGTTTGCGTCAGGATTATAGCGTGACTAAGAATTGTGATAATTTTTTTCTTTTCTTCACTCGAGTATATCAAAAGGACCGCCAAGAGGGACTTAAATGCTAGCAGCGCCGAGGTCTTGTGTGAGGTCAGTAAAAGAAGCTTCGCAATCCGATGACATTTTGGTTTTAAACCACAAAACGTTTGTCATTGCACTGCGAGTTGCTGTTATTCATTCATACAGTATCTGCCTTTTTACTCTTAATTATCATTTCATATCCCAACCCTACTCTTCCATTTCTTTTCCAGCTCCGTTTTGGCGTTCCCCAACTATACAAGTTTCACAAGAAAAAGGAGGTGGATATTGCCGTGGATCTATGGCGATTCGTTCCAAGACGTAGTGGGGAAAGGACGATTAACCTCCGAAGTGCAGTTTAAGACCATGCTTGAAGAATAACTTGTTTATTTCTAGTGTGTTAATTTCAGACACTTTGTTAAATCCACTTGGTTAAATCTCTATGTATCAGTTTCCTAGTCTGAGTGTTCTTAAACAGTCAATATCATTATCCTTGTTCTTAATTTTCAAAACATTTATTATAAATTCTTAAAGTATTTAAACTGAAATTACATCTAAATATCAGATTTTGTCGCACTGAATGAGAACATTTTAAGTGAAAATATATATTCTTGAAGATTTCTTAACATGATAAAAATTGAAAAGGGTGGAATGGTAAAAGATTTGCTAATAAATTTATTAATTTGGTGTTCGAATCTTAATAAAAAAGATCAATTTTGATTTACTCGTGTTTCCATTTTACAAAAATAAATCGGAGAAGATACAATTCTCATACAAATGAAGGCCACTACATTGAAAACTTTGCTTAAACACGTCAAAAAAAATAATCTGATTGTTTCTCCTCCAAAATTAGTTCCTACATTCATTACTCGAAATGCTTCTCGCTGCTGTCAACGGAAGTTCCGACTTTCTCGCTATCATGCTTCAGTTTCTGTTTACCTTCCCCGGTTGTCTCTCCGAGTGTAAACCGAACAAATATTTGCATTTCGATTTTCTCTCTAATGTTCTCCGGTTTTGACTCAAGGTCGTCTCTTTGCATTTCGAGCTCTTTTTCTTTACTCACGATACTCTCCGGAATGTCTTTGATGGATACAAACTGCACCTGAGGACTGGCCATAACTTGCATTGCAAGGTCATCAACTAACTCTTTGAACTTTCACTTCTACCAACGAAGTCGGTCTCACAGTTGACTTCGATTAGGACACCAATCCTCGAGTCGTGAATGTAGGCACTGATTCGTCCTTCAGCAGCAAGCCGGCTGGATTTCTTGTCAGCCGTTGAAAGACCCTTCTTTCTAACGTATTCCTGAGCTTTCTCGAGATCGCCTCCGGTTTCAGACAGTGCTTTCTTGCAGTCCATCATCCCGGCCCTCGTTTCTTCACGTAGATGTTTGACAAGTGCAGCAGAGACTGCTATTTTGGGTCTGCAAAACATAAATGGGTGAAACCTGTTGGAAATAAAATACTCACACAAACAAATTTTATTGAAACTCAAACAAATATTACAAGAGCACTCTCACTCAAAAACAAGAACTACAACTCATTCTTATAAGACTTTGCTTCTTCACTCACTTAGAAGCTCTTAATTTTTCTTGATGCTTAAAACTAAAATGGGGAGGGATATTTATATATTACTCAAGAATAATCCTACACCACACAAATAAACTAATTTAAACCATTACAAATTTAACAAATATCTAACTCTCACCTAACTAAATTGATGTAAGCAATTACATCATTATTTAAATGATGTAAGCAATGACATCTTTACTTAAATGATGTAAGCAATGACATCAATTTAGTTTGGGTTTGGGTTTAAGCTCCCATAATGGATCAAGTTTATGATCCAACACCACCCTTTAAACTTGATCTTGTGACCCCTAGTAAGTTCCTTAATCTTATGAAGTCTTCACTTTTCAGTGGCTTGGTAAAAATATCGGCAACTTGATCTTGTGACTTCACGTATTCAACTTCCACATCATTTCTTGCAACACACTCCCTAATATAGTGGTAGCGAATGTCGATGTGCTTGCTTCGATCATGGAATACTGGATTCTTTGATAAGGCAATGGCTGATTTGTTATCGACACAAACCTTGGTAGGATCTTCTTGTATCAAACCTATCTCCTTCAATAGATTTCTAAGTCAAATTGCATGACAAACACATGAGGTAGCAACAACATATTCCGCTTCACAAGTGGACAATGTGACAATCGGTTGTTTCTTTGACATCCATGTGAACGCAATATCTCCCATGAAAAATACGAATCCAGTAGTGCTCCTTCGATTATCTATGTCTCCACCCCAATCACTGTCGCTATATCCAACAAGCTTGTAATCATTAGAAACTGAATAGAACAAGCCAAAGTCAATTGTACCTTTCAGATAGCGAAGAATTCTCTTTGCAGCTTTAAAATGGGTGGTTGTTGGAGATTCCATGTAGCGACTAACCAATCCAACTGCGTGAAGAATATCGGGTCTCGTGCAAGTTAGATAGCGTAGATTTCCTACCAAACTTTTGAATAATGTTGGATCTACACTTTCGCCTTCTTCATGTTTGGTCATCTTGATCCCGTATTCTGCCGGTGTGCTTATTGGCTTACAGTTCTCCATCTTGAACTTCTTCAGTATCTCCTTTGCATAGCTTTCCTGTGAAATGAAAATTCCATCATTTTGTTGCTTAACTTCAATGCCAAGGTAGTACGCCATGAGCCCCATGTCTGTCATCTCGAATTCTTTCATCATCACATCCTTGAATTCATTAAACATGCTTGGGTTGCTTCCGGTGAAGATCAAATCGTCTACATAGAGACACACGATCAAAATATCTTCATCTTTGATCTTGATATATAGAGCATGCTCGTAGGGACATTTGTTGAATCCATTCTCTTGGAAGTACTTGTCGATTCGGCTATTCCATGCCCTTGGTGCTTGTTTTAGCCCGTAAAGAGCCTTCTTCAACTTCAACACCTTGTCTTTGTTCCCTTTGACTTCATATCCTGATGGTTGCTGAATGTAAACTTCCTCTTCAAGAACTCCATTTAGGAAGACGGACTTTACATCCATCTGTTGTATCTTCCACTTGTTTTGAGCTGCCAAAGAAATGATTAGTCTGATAGTCTCCAATCGAGCAACAGGAGCAAATACCTCATCATAGTCAATTCCAGCCTTTTGACATAGCCTTTAGCAACTAGCCTCGTCTTGTGCCTTTCAATCTCTCCTTTGGCGTTTTGCTTTGTTTTGTACACCCATTTGACACCTATCGCCTTATGTCCCTTGGGAAGTGAGGTAAGTTCCCATGTGTCATTCTTCTCGATGGCCTTGATTTCTTCATCCATCGCATCTCTCCATTTCTTTTCTTGTACCGCTTCTTGAAAGCTCACTGGTTCACAATCGGCAAACAAACAAAATAATGTAAGATTATCTTGTCGTTCAGTTACCTCATAGAGATTTCTAAGGCTTCTTGTGCGTTGCACAACTCTTTCACTTTGACTCCACTTGACGATGACGAAGGTGATGAGTCTCCTTGAGTGGTTGATGTTGGTGAAGTGGGTGGAGTTGCAAGCTCTTGTTGAGATTTATCTAGTTGTTCCCTCATTGTCTGCTCATCTTCTTCAAACTGAGGAAAGAAATTGAAGTCATCTTTATGAGAGTTAAAATCCCATTCTCCTTCTTCGTTGAAGATCACATCTCGACTAATCACAAACTTCTTATTGTTTGGATTGTAAAACTTGTAGCCCTTCGAATTAGCATCATAGCCGATGAAGATAAAACTCTCACTTTTATCATCAAGCTTCGTTCTTCTCTCGTCTGGTACGTGAACATGGGCTATACTTCCAAAGGTTCTCAAATGGGAAATGACAGGCTTTCTTCCACTCCATGCTTCTTGCGGTGTCTTTCCCCATACACTTCTTGTTGGAGATTGGTTTGTCAAGTAGACTGCACACGCTACTGCCTTCGTCCAAAATTCCTTAGGTAGTTTCTTGCTTTTGAGCATGCTTCGTGCCATGTCGAGGATTGTTCTGTTCTTTCTTTCTACCACACCATTTTGCTGGGGGGATCTAGGAACTGTCATTGGTCGACGAATTCCATTTGCTTCACAGAACGCTTGAAACTCCCTGGAAGTAAATTCTCCACCTCGATCGGATCTCATGGCTTTGATCTTTCTACCGCTTTTCTCTCCACTGCTGCTTTGAACTTCTTGAAGACTTCAAAAACTTCTGACTTTTGTTTCAAGAAATATACCCAGGTTTTTCTTGAAAAATCATCAATGAAGAGAAGAAAATAGTTACTGTTACCGAGAGAGCTTGGCTTTATCGATCCACACACATCGGTATGGATGAGCTCAAGTGGCTTCTTGGCTCTTGTCTCTGACTCCTTTGGAAAGCTTTTCCTGAATTGTTTCCCGACTAGACACCCTTCACAGAGCTGGTCAGGATGGTTGATGCGAGGTAGTCCTTTAACCATTTCCTTCTTAGATAACAACTCTATACCTCCAAAATTGAGATGCCCAAATCGAAGATGCCAAAGCCATGATGCATCTTTGTAGCAAGCTTTCAGGCACTTTGCAACATTATTTTGTATGTTGATCAAGAACATTCTATTCTTTGACATCGACACTTTAGCAATGAAGTTATTCTTATCATCTTTTATAGAAATATTATAATTATTCATATGAATATCATAACCTTTCTCTACCAGTTTCCCTAAACTTAAGATGTTACTTTTCATATTGGGCACATAGTAGACATTTGAAATAAATTGATGTCTCCCATCTTTCAAACGAATAAGAATGTTACCTCTCCCTTTCACTGCTATTATGGAATCATCTCCAAATGAAACATTTCCGCTTACTGACTCATCTAGCTCCACAAACATGTCTTTCCTTCCACACATGTGATTGCTTGTACCACTGTCAAGATACCAGGAATTTTCTTGGTCACCATCAGTTTCCTTTCGTGCTAGAAGAAGAGTTTCTTTGCCATCTGTCTTTTCCTCCAGATAATTGGCCTTCTCCTCAATTTTGTTGTTGGGAGCTCTACATTCTGAAGCATAATGTCCAAACTTTTGAAAATTATAACATCGAATTTGAGATTTATCATACTTTGAGTTTGGATTGATTCTTCCACGGCCTCGTGTTGAGCTTTCTCCTTTCTCATAGTTGTTGTTGGAATTGTTATTGTTGGAATTCCAGCCTCGTCCATGACCTCTACCTCTGCCTTGGCCACGTTAGTTTCTATCATTGTGTTGGCTTTCATGCATATCCTTGAGTTACAGCTTAAGGAGTTGCTCAGTAAACTCATTCTTCTTCTTATGCTTCTCTTCGTATGCTTGCAATGATCCTTGGAGTTGCTCGATCCTCATTTCTTCCAAGTCTTTAGTTTCTTCAATCGTCACAATGATGTGCTCAAATTTG